ACAAAGAAAAACAAGTAGATAGAATAGAAAAAATAGAAAGCTAGTGTTTGTTTGTTTTTTGTTGTTTTTTTTTAAATAAAAAAATAAAAAAAGAAGATAAATATAGATAAAGTAGAATTAAAATAGAATAGAAAGTGCTAGAGTTAGAGGGTAAAATAAAGGTGGAACAGATGTGTTTTTATAACTTAAATATAAAAATAAAAAAACTTAAAACATAACTTAAATGTTGATCTGTTCACAACTCATGTGATCATGTCAGCTTCGCTTCTAAGTGGACCCATTTAATGTACAATTTTTAGTAGGCTACTAATATTGAATCATTTTTGAAGCTCATCACAGCTTTACAGTGATGAACAGGAAATTAATAATTCAGCTGAAATATTGCCAAGGAAAGATCTCCATTGTGAGACAATTATTTATTAGCAATATTTTATTGGGGCACAGCAGTGTTTCACTGGGGCTCGAGTCGTGATCTCTTGCATACAGGATTGTAAACAAAAATACAAGTAATACCCTTCTTCGTTTGAGACACTTGAAGAAAAAGTGAGTGTGTGTAGCTTTAAGACGTCCCCCACCCCGCGGCGTCCCACTTGATCACGTGATTTGAGTCTTGTGACAGTGCAGCGAGCAGGAAAAAAAAACGTCGTTTGAGTTTGATAAGCAGTTTCCGTCGTTACCTAATCCAGGTTTCTCTCATAAACGAGAGAAATCAAGAAAAGTTCGCTATGACACATCTTTAGGACATTTGACCGTCTTAATAACATTCCTGTCCCTCACACAGACGCTGTAAGAGCGGGTTGAAGTCACATGGGGAGAGCGGAGGAACTTTCATCTCATCTTTGTTTTTGTTTTTGTTTGTGTTAGTCCAGTGATCATCCACGTTAAAGCAGCTCGAGAAGATTTCATGTTAGTTTGGTGAAGTGGACAGGACGCCTCAGAACGAATATGGATACTAAACCTCTTCTCCAGGACAGACCTCCTGCGTACAACACAGTCCCGGCCGCGTACGACTACGGCTCGATCCCCGCGGCCGCTGCACCCGCCGCCGGCTTCCAGCCTCCGGCTCCGCCGCCATACCAAGGCAAGAGAACCACATACTGTATTTAACCTCTTCACAATCACTATTGACCAGCAATAACTCACGTACTGCAGGGTTTTATAACGTATGTGTGATGTTCTTCTTATTATTAGTGATGTTATTTAATATAACGATACTGGTTCAGATTCTGCTTCCTTTAATTTCTCTTATTGAACGTTTGAGGAAGAAACATTTGGGTAAAGCAGTTTATAAAGTTGACATGTTAAAACCTGAACTAGCCTTGCCATTTCATAAAAAGGAAAAATCATCTGATATTTGCTT